ACTGTTGCAGTACTTGATTTTAGCAGTGAGACCATACCTACAGCGGTCTATCCTAGTCTCTCCTCCTTTGACACACCTATTGTTCAATAGTCCACCCAGGAAGTGGTTTGAATACAATCAACCTGGTCCACAATAGAGACAACAAAAGAAGGGGCCAACAGAAGGGTCCAGGTGGGTGAAAGGCAGGGCATGCCTGTGGGTTGTTTGCTGAGGAGTATAACAAAACCACACACAATGTACAAAGAGTGTGCGTCATGCATGGTTGAAACTTGCTGGCAGAGTTACTTGTTACGGTCTGTGTACATTCACCTCAATGTTAGTTCATTATCTGCAACTGTACCGACTGGTGGTGAAATGTTTCATTCCATCTGTCTCACCATGAAATTATTCTTACCTCTGTACCCATTTAAATTCATAAGTGTACACTGTTTATACATGTTGATTGTGTTGATGTTTTTAAAAGGGTAGTATAACGTAAAGGGATACATGGGCCAGTAGCTGACTACATGTACATCTGCCTCTTTTGCTTTTTCACTAAACATTCGCTTTGGTTTAAAAACCATGACCAGGTGTGGTTCTACATGTACAGGGTAAGGGCTAGGGGAGGGGCTTGGATCCCCAAAACATTTTTTTCTAGCCCCATCCTGAAATGTAAATATGAAAAAAAAAAAGTGAAAGAGCAGTAAAAGGTGACATCTTGTGCGAAGGGTCTAGTCCCCCCCCCAAAAAAAAAATTGGCTCCAGAACTGCTCCTGGCCATGACCCACTGCAAAACGCTCGTCAATTCTGTGTTGATCTAAGAAACATGCATTTTTAGCAGGCCTAAAAGCAGTGACTGAAAAGTACTGGAACAAATCAATATGTGTTTACCGCTCATCACCACCAATGACCAACATACTGTGCATGTACATCTCACCACTGCATGAAAGTTCAGAGGGCTTCAATCTCTTACATATGTACAAAAAGTGTTAGTCACTGGCAGAATTCGGACACCTTACTCATGAGAGACATCTGTTTCATTATGCTATGCACATTGTCTCTTTTATGTAAAAATTCACCATGCATGTCAGTGTTTGCACCCAAATACATGTACAAGCAAACCTGGTTGGGCTACCAGGCTACATGTTGGTTGGAAAAATCTTTTAGTGTGCATACGCACATGTACCCGTACATGTACCTGTACATGTACTCGTAGCACTGAAACCAGGGGTCCCTTGCAGTGAGATTGCATTGATGTCATAATCGCTGAGAAATACAGTAATCTCATGTGAAAGTGTATCCCTGTCACCTAATCAGAAGGGTCCCTGTGTGTTGTCACTGGGATCCAGACCTCCTCCAACATTTCACATGGGCGCAAAATGGCCTTGCGATTATCATCGGGTTTGATTGTGTGAATGCAGAGTGTGCGATTTGCAAGAATAGTGTGCGTTGAAGTCCCTTACGCATGCACATCTTTGCTGTTTCCGTTGTTCAAAATAGCGGTACACGAAAGTTACCGTACATGTATGATCCATTTACGGTACTATAAATGTATACTTGTTCCGGTACATGTACAGTACATTACACTGGAAGCTTCTATACAGTTTTTCTTCAAGTTTTTGCATTGAAATACTGGTATGGTACATGTACATGGATCTCGTCACACTAAAATATCCAGACAGTTTCCTTTATAAATGGCACGCCTACATGTACAATGTACATACGTTTTTTTGTATTTAACATATGTACATGTAACATGCCAGATCACCTGCTGAGAAATTTAAAGCAGTGTGCTTTCATGGAAGCAACTGGTTGGAAATTTAAGATGCAAAATGCCCTTAGGCATTGTGAATTTGTGTGTGGATGTGATACATGTAAGTCCTTGCAAGTAACTGTCGGTTGTGTTACACACATCTGAAATTGGCTTCCAATTAGTGGCATCATGCTTTGTGCATTTTCTGTATTTTCATCCCCACAAAATTGCAAGGGGGAATTTGCTGAAACGGAGATTCAGAAGTAGCATTTGTCACACATTTGGTGTTTGCTTTAATATTGTTTGGTTAAATTTGTATTCATCAACAGTGCACGTATTTTTATGTACTGTACAGTAACAATCAGCATAATCTATAAAGTGCCCTAATTCAAGAGATTTACTCTCATGGTGTTCCATCATCATTATTGCCCCGTCTTTGGGGCACATTTTGTTATTTAGGGACCTTCTCAGGTCTCTGGCAGGAGTAGAGAGCGCAGGTCAACACTGCCATTTTTGGGTGCAGGGGGCTAATTCCAGTTCTAATTCATTTATTCTTGGGAAGAGAGCATTGTTGGCAGAGTAGCTTTTCAGCATGTGACCAGATCGACACACAGTGGCAATTCCTGTACACCGGACTCAAACCCATTATGGAATTAATCAGGAGACTTTCAATTTAACCATGGAGAAAATGCTCAGGGCAGCACCCCTGAGCTATTGGATCAAACCTTATCCTGCTCATGACAAAATGATGGTGGAGATACATTACACTGGTATATTTCCCCATCTTGTCTAGCCTGGAGAATGGGCCATAGGATCATTTTCCCCTGAATTTGTTGCATTGGTTTTGATCCCTTTGTGGCAAGACTGTACAAATACATAAAGAAACAAGTAAAAAGACCTAAATGGTTTTGGAAAGTTGCATCCATAATGTTTCACACTCAGCCGGGATTATGGTAAAATCTAATGCATGTAATTTCCAGCAGATTGAATGATAATAATTATAGATAATAAAAAGTTAAATCCATAAATTTTCAAACTCCAAAGGGCTGGATTAGGGTTTATCTTGTTCGTGTACATTTACTCATAATTTGTCAACAGACCAAATGATGATACCGGTACATGTAATTACAGAAAATTAAAATTTCAATCCATAAATTTTCACACGCCCTAGGGATTAGGGCAAATTCTGGGCATGTGATTTTTGACAGACTAAATGATAATAACAAAAGATAATAAATCGGATGTAATGTAGTGTGAGTGATTTCTGCTCTTGTGTGAGCCAGTCCGTCTTCAATATTCGGGTGGGCACAACATGACTGGAAAATGATGACAAATTGTTTCTCATCTTGGATTTGGAACCTCCTCCTTTGAGAAGTGAGACTGTCCTTGCTTCACAGTTAAGCTGTTGGACTGAACGACTTCCCACGTTCATCAATCATTCTGTACCATACGTATACTAGTATGTACATGAAGAGTTTATTTCCCAAATGAGATAAGTGCCATTTTGGTCCTCCGAATTTCACCTGTTCGTTGTTGCGATCAGCCAGTCTCTGTGGGTTTTATTTAGTTGAAAACAACTCAGTACTTCAGTACAGTGAAAGATAGCATGGAGTTGTACTAGTTCTTAAATATTCAATAATTGTGGAAACAAATGCTCAATATTAGAATTGTGTATATCTCATTAAAAATGAAACACTTCACATATGGAGTGGTTGTTCATCATGCTTTTCCATTATTCAGAAGTCTGCTTGAAACCCGAAATAGACTGGTACATGTACATGTACTACCTGTAGGATGGATTTCATTTTTTGCAAGAGGAACATGTGATTTCTGATGTTAATCCACTTCACGTGGGAATAAGAGATAGCATGCATGGTCTGTCGGTGGGAACTCACCGCGTATGTATACATGTACATGTAGTTGCGAAGGTGTATCCATGTTTGCTTCGGGACGTTCGGAGTTAGTACGATCAATTCCCTTTGGAATGTACAGTCTCCGCATGTGTTCCCAGACGTCAAAATAAGAAGATTCCCATCAATCTGTCTCTTTGCAGGAGATGGGATGCTTCAATTTGGGGCGGATAAATTGCTTCAGATACCAAATGTGCTGAAATTGAGTACAAAACATGTACATACGTGTGTACATGTACCAGCAGGAAGATTACCATTACAATTCTTGAATACTGAACCATGGTAGCTGCTTCTGTCCACTATAAGATAGAAATCAGTTTTATCCTTTGGAATCAGTAAATGAAGAATGTTTGATCCCATCAGATTAGCAGAGAATCTAACAGCTTGCTGTGCCACCTGTTTGTTATTCAGCGAGAGCTTACGGATAAAGTGTCCGAGTTGTATGCATTTTTTGTGTACATCACACCATGTACATGTACGTGCAGCAAGCTACATGTACTTGTGTTAACTGGTTTCAGCTTAGCGTTAGAGTGTTGGATTGAGGGGGTTGGTCAGAGTGAGAAATCACCCCCTCCCACCTGATTAATGGTTTTTACTGGGGGGGATTCCTATCTTCCCTCTTTGTGACATTTTTGCTAGACATTACTGCAAGTACATGTACCTGGGTCGAACCCCTACTCGCCCAAATCCTTCAAAATCCGTAAGCGGGCCTCAAGGATTTTTGAGGATTGAGAAGACAAGCCCAACCAGTAGTTCTTTATGGGGACTTGATGCCCTCGGAAGTTAAAATGCTTAGTATTTCATTGGTTTGTACATACATGTCGTGGTACGTACATACGTAAGATGATCCATGGAGCAAAAACGGAGTCTGTGGCTGAGTCCTCTCTTTTTGTGTTGACTTCAACACCTCAGTTTCTGCTGTCAAAATCACAGTTTCCCGAAGTAAGTTGTAATTAATGCAAAATCCCTCAAGATGCAACCCGCGGTGGTGGTTCATTATGGCTGACTGTGGGCTGACCCAGCTGTCTTAGGGAAGGCTGTGACATCCCAGTTTCATGGGCGGGTGAAGTACAGAGAATGTGCGACAGTTCCAGATGCAAGAAAGACTTGTGGAATACTCTGAACAAAGATCAATACCCAGGGGTTTCAGCAATTTACCATACATGTACATCTTTTGCTGCTCCCAAATTACGTGAGGTTCTTGTTTTTCTTTCTCAAACCCTGTAGACTTTGAAATCAAGTGAGAGCAAGCACCATGGGTGATAGTGACGCTGGCACTGGTAACATGGATCATGACCACTGCACGGTAAGTTTGGTGGAACCAGTTTGTCCTTGCTGCAGCGTGTCCTATTGCACGGTTTTCTTTTGTGTTTGTAATTCTTTGTCAGGTGTAAAGCTTGTGCCAACATGGTCTTATTCAAGTGAAACAGCATGCTGGAAGTGAACGGCATTTGAGCTACCTGTACCGGTAAACTGCAGATGTACCTCTTCTCAGAGAGATTATTGAACTGTTTCAAAATGCTATCAGTGGTTTTGAATTTGTATCATATCCCAACATTTCTTCCCCCCCCTTCTTTTCTTTCTCTCTCTTTTTCTTAGCTGTCCATGTGCAAATGAATCTGTGTATCTCTGTTTTCACATACATATAATCTCTCATGGCAGGGTTCCATGGGCAGGATCAGGAAGAGGCAATCACTGTATCCAGGAAATCTTGTGGAATAATAATGTGCTTGTGAAAATTCATTAGACAATTCAAAAGTTACCTCGAAAACCTGGAATCCTTTCTGAATACAGATGATGTGTACATGTAGCATGCTTCAGTTGATTGTCATCAAAACAATTCCGGAGCCCTTGAAGACAAAAGGTTTCCCTTTTGAATCTTGTGCTGTTGTAATGATTCATCTTGAAGTTTACCCAGTGAAACCTGCACATATATGCGAAGGAGGGGACATGTACTGATATACTTGATGTGTCTAGTCTCACAAAATGCTGTGTGGGATTTTTTTTTTTTAAATCCAGGCATAAGAATTTTCTTGTTACCCTGACAGTTTGCTGTGATACAATTCCCGAGGGAAAAGATCCGAAAGATTCACCCCAAGAATGCATGAATAACAAACAGGAAAATCCAGGAGCATTGGCTCAAGACCTGATAATTGCTGGAGCTGACGGTCCCAGGGTGACCTAAACCAGCAGCATTGTTGGCCCAGCATCAGTAATGGGATTCACATTATTCATAGTTTTTTCTACTACATTCTCCTCTGTTCAAGGGAAGATAAAGTTCCAGAAATGGGGGTTGTTTCTGACTTGAGGCTGTTACGCTTGTTTTTCTTCATGCAAGAAAGGTTGTGGGACTTGCACTAATGAATGACAATCAATGGCTGGGGTCAAAGGGATTACGATGTGGGATATTCACGAGTGATGAAAACAGGCAGTGGAAAAAAAAAGTGCTTAATTTATTTTGCTTTAAATCCAGGCCAAGTTTGCCAGAGTGCCTGCTGAATATGTTTCTGTAACTTCCACTAGTCCCTGGCTTTGTTCACAGTTTTATTTGGATACATTGTGCAGAAAGTGCTGAGTTATTCTGGGCGCCCTTCCCCTGCAGTCCCCAAGAGTATCAAACGGTGTGCAGCTTTGGCTGGATTGTGTTGAGCTTCAGCAGTTTGAACAAGCATGTTCTGGCCATTTTAAAAGATCTTTTGCATTCAGACTTTACAGTTAGAATGCAACCGTCACAAATTTCACAGATTTGTTTCACCCCGGTGTGCCACTTACAGAAGTGCACATCAGCTCTGTAATCAAACATTTCCACGTCGGCTTCTTTTATTGATGTGTGTAAAAACTCGACTCTATTTAATTTTGCGAATTCCCAGCATCTCATTCTAATGCTCAACACCTTGTCTGACGGTATGTTTTTTGCCTCATTGAGTCTGTTTGATGCATTATGCAGGTAACACCAGCTAGACACCTTGTATTAAATCAAGTGTTAAGACATGCACTATCACACTCAAATCCTTGCATCAGCACGACAGGAGGTTTTATTTAAGCCGGGATGAGCATTATGTACATATACATACATAGATAATGTGCATTGCATAAATCATGTGCAGGATGAGTGCACATTTACATGTATGTGATGAAGTTGATCCGTACATTACTGGTACACACATGTACATATGTATATTAATTGGAAAGTGTACTTGTGGAATCAATAGTTCAATTTTAAGAAGTACAAATGCACACTGTAACTCCCTGGACAATTTTCAGTACTCCTTTTCTGCTACGAACTTTATTCCTACACCTGTACCATTTATTGAATCGTCAAGGGTTGCCACACTAAACGTCATGACAGATTAAATGCATACAACATGTACAGTACAATGTGCCTGAGCCTACAGGTAATGATTTGTAGAGTTCATGTAGGGGGGCAGTCTTGCAACTAATTATAGCACAAACCCTGCGGCTAGGCTGTCATGTGTTTGGAAGGCACTCGTTTCTGTTGTGTACACGCTGTTTCACGGGGACGGTTTGGAGGATTTAGGTAACGCCTTATCCAAGCAGTAGCCACTGGCCTGGATTTTAGCTAGCTGGAGCACGATGTTATCAGAGGCCTATAAAAATGAGAAGGCCTCTTCATCCAGGGGCACATAGCCGTGCTGCTATCCTTGTTCTTTTCTTAATCTATCACTGCCTCTACGCACATGACATGATATCCATCAGGAAAGTGGATCTTAGCAAAATAAGAATTCGGCCAAGAGATCTGGTTGCTCGGCATCCAAAGGAGTGGATCTGTTGGGAGAGAAAATGCAAACATGATATGATCATAGCCGACTGTGACAACACGTTGAGACGTATTTGCACAGATACCGCCGTGAGGTACATGTAAAAGTGGGGTGTTAATGTTGGAGTCAGATGGTGTTGGGAATGATTGAAGGGGGGTTAGTGACTGATTAGAGGCAGAGTGAACCCCACTCCAAGCTCTGATGGGAATCCGTTACATGGCACATTCCGCACCATTTGCCCAACTGTTTTCTTTACCTCTAACCTTCTCTGATCCTTCAAAGTCCTCCAGGAGGCTTTTGAAAGATTTAGTACAGTTCAAGAAGATTGAGCTCCTCCACCATTATGTTCACTTTACTAGATCCGGATGTTTCTCAAAATGGAGGATTTTGGAAGAACTCAAAAGGAAGGCTACTGACTTGAAATGCCAAGGGACTTGGGATTAATGGCAGTTTTGTTCATTGTTGCTGTGTGAAACCCATTACAGTATATGTACACTGAACAGTATGCTTCCTGCGTTGTCACTCCCCTTCACCTCTTTATTTCAAAGAAATTGAATGGAGCATTAAGTTTCTGTTTAAAGAACTTACTGGTGTGTACATGTAAAACCGGCAGAATTTTTAGCTGCATGCATCCCTGTTGCAATTACTTACAGTACATGTAGATCTCAGCATGCGCTTACATACCCATGGATTCTAAAATTGACCTTGTGCTGGATTTTCATATTAAGGAGGGAGAAGAAGGCTCTTTGCACAGGAAAGTAGGCACCAGCACAACGGCAACATGATGGCAGACCGGCCTGATCAGTGATGGATATTGACCTGAGCCGCCTAATCAATAAATTCCCCCTGCCTTGCGCTTTCCCAAACCGGCTCAATTTTAGAGCGTACGTACGTTTCTCTGCCACTTTAGAATGGATGCTCAGAGGCTCGGATGTGTCAGTTTATGTTATACGCTGGCTGGCATTAGTATGCGTTGCCTCATGCTGCCAAGGAAACATTATTCTAAGTGATGCAGAATGAACCGATCCTGGAGATAAGATTTTATTGGGGAGGAGGGAATGAGATGTGTTTGTGCATAGACATTGGATTTTCCTGAGCAGTCCCATTTGCCAGGTTGTGTTTTGTTTTGAAAATCGAATTATTGAAAATCCTTGATGGATCGTAGAACATGGCACACTTTTGAGTGGAGAGTCTTTTTTGCTCGGCTTGAATGCGTTCTTGTTTTTGTCTTCAGAAAAAAAAAAGAAATGAGGTGCAAGATTGATGGCTCTTCTTCTGCATGTCAGTTTGGACATGTAATTATTGAAATCAAATGAGAGGCAGTGCTTATTTTGAAAACCTGATGAATATGCCGGACCCCCCAAAGGACAATTTTGGATGGTTTCATACTGTACACTGATTATTTCCACACCTTCTGCACTGTATTCCCTTGTCTACTGTGTATGTAAACACTGTGGAAAGGCTCATGACAGCACCCTCTTCATACATGCACAGTGTCTACAATGATCAAGTGGTTTGTGTAAATTGCCCCCTTGCTTATAAAAATTGGTATCTCTGATCTCATCAAAATAATTCATGGCGGTCATTGTGATGGCAAGGATTCATTTGAGCCTTCTGGATTCTCTCTGCATACAATGTACGATGTCCATGTACTGGTACATGTACTTGCTTCTCCTCCATCCCTGAGCCCATGCATCTGTTGAGAGCCTGCCATGGGCAGGGGATATCCTCTGCCATTGGACAGCACTGCCTCCGGTGTGACTTTGGTCCCTTCACTTTAGTTTCAGTACGGTTTGGAACTTCTGATGACATTGGGATGCAGTTTCGGTTCTAGTGTTACAGTGCAGAACCAGTAGTTACACATAGCAATGGGTGTCCTTGGAAGAGACCCGGGCTCAAGTTCATGATTCCTGCTGAAGCCCTATGAGCACACAATTTTGTGCTAAGAGAACCTCCATCTGTTTTGGAATGGCTTGGAATAGTGAGTACAGAAACCACACACATACATGTAGCATGCAGCAAACAGAGCCCATTCCTTCAATTTTAGGAATATTTCACACGCCCTTGGGAGCTTGGTCAATCAGAATGAAAATTTTCTGGTATGCATGGATACATATTTTTTTTTCAGGGTGGAGGCACAGTATTTGCCTGTAGAAACCCCACCCGGGGGAAAACAAACACTGTCACACAATGTTACTTGACACACGTGCAACCAAACACACATGTACCGGTACATGTAATTGAGCATGTGATGACAGCAAAATTACTGCAGGGCTCATTGGGGCAGCGACTTCTGCTCTGTGAATGATGGACTTGACTTTTCATCAATTTGACAGCGATGACAGATGCTTGGAATTAATGGTTGCATAAATGAAGGCAGCATACTCAAGGGGATACACCAGAGTCCGTGAAACAAATTTGCACTTTTAAATTGCTGGAAAGGATCATGATACAAAGGTTCATTTTAAAGTGAAATTGATGACAAATATTTTCAGGTAGATTTGGAAGGTGTAAATTATGTACTTGG